CGTGGGACGGGCAGAGCGCTGGCGGCGTCAGACAGGAGAGAGAATGAGTGGGAGAAACGCCTGCGGCAGATCCGTCCCCGGCAGCCACCGCCGGCCCGGGGGATGCGGGAAGAAACACCCGGGGACGGCGGCGTTGGGGAAATCCCTCCCGCGATCTCAAATTCCCGATTTTCCAGAATTTCTCAGCATAATATCGAGTGGTTTAAAGACTTGAGTGGCATCGACTCCACCGCCTCCCTCCACGCTCGAAATACACGGCGGAGGATGCGGTGGGCGTCTATTAATTTCCCGACCCGAGGTCTCGCCTTGCTTTAGTCGTTACAGCATTTTCACCGACACAGCCCAAGTCCTTCACGCAGCACAGGTTTCGTTTTCCCTTCGTTAAGGCCATTCAAGGCACGTCCCGTCCCACAAGCCGCGTTTTTCACGCCGCTTCCCAATAATTAAGCTCTTCAGCGCTTCCATAGAAATGAGGGGGTGTTTGGCCGGGGGGTGCTGGCAGGGCGGCAGCGCACAGAGCCCTCACGTTGTCTCAGGTATTTAATACTTATTTACTTCGGCCTCGGGGACTCGAGGCTAAAATCCCTGCTTAGTTTGCTATTTTTACCGTGTCTTAGCAGAAGGAGGCGCGTACGCAGAGGAGCCTCTCGGAGATTCCTGCCATCGTGTGCTGGGAGAGCAGGTTTAGCATCAAGTGTCTGTAACAAGGGTCAGCGCTAACGACTTTCCTTCTCCTCTCCCGCAGCCCTCATCAAATTACGGGTGAGAAGACAGAGGGTCTGTCACCGGTAATAGTCAAACTGCGCTGAGCCTTTCGCACAGTGCTGAGGAGCCCGAACCAGGGGAGAGGAATTCACCTGAATTTTGACCACAGGCAGGAGCCTCTCCTGGAAATCAGAAGGTCACAGAATCACAGAATGGTTTGGGTTGGAAGGGACCATCAAGACCATCCAGCGCCACCCCCTGCCCTGTGCAGGGACACCCCCCACCAGCCCAGGTTGCTCCAAGCCCCGTCCAACCTGGCCTTGAACACCTCCAGGGATGGGGCAGCCACAGCTTCTCGGGGCAACCTGCCCCAGGGGATCACCACCCGCACAGGAGAGAACTTCTTCCTAAGGTCTTATCTAAATCTCCCCTCTTCCAGTTTGAAGCCATTCCCCCTCATCCCACGGCGCCCCTCCCTGATCCAGAGTCCCTCCCCAGCTCTCCTGGAGCCCCTTTAGGCACTGGAAGGGGCTCTGAGGTCTCCCCTTTTTGGCCTTCTCTTCTCCAGGCTGACCCCCCCCCCCTCTCCCAGCCTGTCCTCCCAGCAGAGGGGCTCCAGCCCTCCCAGCATCTCCGGGGCCTCCTCTGGCCCTGCTCCAACAGGTCCATGTTTTTCTTATGTTGTAATCTCCAGAGCTGGAGGCAGTACTCCACGTGGGGTCTCACCAGAGCAGAGTAGAGGGGAAGAATCACCTCCCTCCTTGATGTATGTTGAGCCCGGTGGGTGAGGGACCTTCAGCAAGAAGCTCAACCTCTCTAGATCTCCACTCTTGCCAGAATGAGAAGAATCAACTAACTACATGTCTACATGAAGCTAACGTTGTCCTGGGGTAGTGGGCTCTGGAGAAGATGCTCTGATCTTTGCCCCACATAACATTTCCATTAAATAAGGGTTTCACTTCCCCCACTGTGTTCTCCAGATCCCACCACGACACTACTCATTCACGCTTGATCAGGCATTGCTTTTCTTCATGCGAGACTAGGTTTCAGCCTCGAAACCTTCTGCTGGGGAAGCAGGACGACTCCTGAATGGCATCCAAAGAAGAATCCCCTTTGTGAGTCCTCACAGGGATCACAGAGCCCATCCTTGGTCTTGCCCGCGAGGCAACGCGATGCTGAACCCTGTCCCCAGCTCCACAAGCAGCTCGACCTGCTGGGACCTCCAGTCTCTCGGATGCTCCTCCCATGCTTGGTCAACAGCCAAGAAGGCGGAGGCTGGAGGAGATGTCAGTTTGGTTTCCAATCCATCAGTCACACCAGCATCACACCTGGCGGTGCAGCCGCAAAAAGGGGAGATGACAGCAGCTGGCTGCCCCGGAGTAAGATGGTTTATTTATTGACCGAAAGGGAGAAACCACCTGCCCGCATCTGCCCAGACCTTCCAAACCACACCGCTACAACGAGATCTTGCCGAGTAGCACAGCTGGGGAGATGCTGCCCCAGGTTCCCGCAGAATATAGACCCCAAAGGAAGAGGCTGAGCTGGAGATGGTCCAGCGCAATCCCGGAAGTCCGACAAAGTCTTTCATAGACAAGAGCAGCACAGTGGAAATACCCTTCGGGGATCACTGGTGCTCTGCAAGACCCCGATGGCAGCAAAGGGAGAGACAAGTCCCACTTCCACTCAAACTTGGGCTAAAAACTGAGTTTTCACTGCATAATCCTGTCCCACCATCCCACCACGGTACTTTGCTCTTCCACCTTCCACCTCGCTGAGATGATTTAGTCAGGTAAAGGATGTTAATGTGAATTTAAGGTGGAGGGAAGTCAGCGCTATTAAACTTCAAGCTTGGAAAGA